GGTTTGTCAGTCCATTAACTAATGTTTATGAGGTCCTACCATATGCCAGCCACTTTGCTAGGTGCTAGGCATGGACAGTAGGTTGATTGAGCTGAAATGTGGAACATGTGGGCAGGAGGTAATTGGAGTAAGGATGGAGAAGGGAGCTACAGGTGAAAGACCCTTAGGAACTGTCTTCCAAACCTGCCCTTTATCCTAGAGACCAAGAGAGGCCTCTAAAGGGTTTTAAGCAAGTAAGTGTTGGAGTCAAATTTGTTCTAAATGAGGACAATCTGTGTAAACATCTGTATGAATGCTCTATATGAACAGAGTGATTCATGGGATGAATTGGTAAGTGAAAAAAAATGTGCAACAGATAATCCATAATGTGCTACCTTTTATGTAATAAAGAAGGAGAAATAAATATCTATATGTCTACTCACTGGTGCAAAAGTAAACAAGAATGATAAACTAGGAACTCTAACAGGTGAGTGGGTATAAGACGGAAAGGAAGGGGATGGGAGCAGAGTAAAAGGAAGGGGGAAAGCAGGGCTTCTCTGCATATACCTTTCCACATTGTTCTGACTTTTCAAACTATACTGAAAAAGATTCAATGGGAATGGACAAAAAAACCCTATGGTGAAATACAAATAGAAATGAATGGGAGTGGGAAAGAACTAAAGTAACTTTTGAAAATAATCTTTTGAGGATGACAAGACAAGTTCTTGTCTGAAGACAAGAACTGTAAACAAATCTTGAACTTTTTTTCACCCACAGATATGTGGCTGGCAATTCTGAAACTACTTTCTGTGTATTTTAGGCTTGAGCAAATAAGTATATTGCAGACAATGGAAACAAAGTTTATTAGAGAAGGAAGTTTAAAAAATATGGAAGGAAACGAGGGCTACAGTTGGCACTGCAGCAATGGACTGTAATAGGAGGTGTGCATATGAACTAGGGGTTTTTAACATGGATGGATGGATGGATGGATGGATGGATGGATGGATGGATGGATGGGTGGAAAAATAGAAAGATAGATGGATAGATAGATGATAGACAGATAGATAGATAGATAGATAGATAGATAGATAGATAGATAGATAGATAGATACATACATATAGATAGCCAGAGATGAGATGTGTGTGTATACATGCATGTATTTGTTAGCCCTGTCCCTCATATGGCCGTGGAGCAATGACACCCCAGTAGCAGTGAGCACACTGAGTGCCCAAAGCTTTGTTTCAAATGCCATTCCCCACTAAAAGGAATCAGCACTTCAGAAAAATGACTGATTTCAGGACTAGAACTGAGGAAATACAAGATGAGACTGAAACCTTTTGTATACCAGAAAATAAAGATGTGGTCAGAAAATGATGGGAATATGTCTAAAGAACAAGGAATCACCTTGAATGAGCTTCCACTGGTCAAAACTGGGACAATTTGAGAATCAAGGCAAATAATGATAGTAATTATAACCCACTGAATAAAATTAGAACCATTAATATAAATAATGTATATTATATATAAGTGTATTATATATTTATACATGTTTGTTTAAGTATTATCTCTTTATTACATTTATATTTTATATATTTTATAGTATATACAGTACTTAGAGTGTGAATAAATGTATTAAAATAAACTGATATAAAGAAACAAAGGAGAAGGGAAAGCTCTTCCTTACAGTAGAAGCTTCCTATACTAACTATAGAAGGAACAGTAGAATTAGAAGTTCACTATCATAATAATAATTAATCTAGGCAAGAACTATCAGTGGATGCTAAAACTAGTAGAAAAAGGTTTGATGAATAATTACAAAATTACAACAACCTGGAGCAGGATAAGATCAATTTCAGAAATCTATGGCATAACACAAAGACTTTGCAACCAACTGCTGTCAGCTGACTGTTCAAGTCATATTGCTAAGTGTATCTGCAATAGATTGATAACAATAATTATTTATTGAGTGCCCACTGTAATACAGGCATTGTGCTAAGTGAGGTTTGGGGGAGAGGTGTTTGTTCATGTTTTGCATATAGTAACTCACTTAATCCTAACAGTAACTCAGATTTTTTTTAGTAGTACCCCATTTTTGAGATGAAGAAACTGAAGTTCAAGAAACAAAAAATTTGTCTAGAGTCAAATAGATAATAAGAAGCAGAGCCAGAATTCAAATCCCTATGCATTCTGATTTCGAGTTCCATGGTGTTCCCATTCAGTGTGTCTCTGGGCCCCCTTAGAACTCTGTGCTCCTGAGAGTCTGCAGAATGATATGATGAGAGAGGCATTCTTCAACAAAAGCATTGGAGGTTCCTTCTTTCTCCTCACCATTATTTACTAAACACCTTGCCTCATTTTCCTCACCTAAAAATAGGGAAGACAATGCTTAATTTACATGGTTGTTATGAGGACTAACAGATAATATATGTAAAGCACATAGCACAATGAAAATAAGTGTCCATTAAATGACAACAGCAGTGATGATAATACCGGTTGTAATGTTGAATTCCTTGGTATGATGGAAAATGTTTCTAAAGGTCACACCTCATTTTTGGACTGAATTGATAATCAGAGGCCAGATCATAAAGAGCTTTGTGTATCATGAAAAGATTACATTTTATTCTACAGGCAATAGAAACCACTGAAAGAATTCTATTACCAGGAAAGATGTGATCTAGTTGGCAGTTTAGAGTGGACCAAGGGAAGGAGAGAAAAATCCAAGACAGGGAGACCAGCAGGAGGCTGTTGTCAGAGGCCAGGCGAGAGGACAGGAGGGTCTGAGTTAATGACCTGGCTGGCATGATGGAGAGAATGGAACACACAGAGGATGGTCACACTCCCAGACAGGTGCCTGTGTTTGGCAGGAGAGAGAGCGTATCCAAGACAGGGAGACCAGCAGGAGGCTGTTGTCAGAGGCCAGGCGAGAGGACAGGAGGGTCTGAGTTAATGACCTGGCTGGCATGATGGAGAGAATGGAACACACAGAGGATGGTCACACTCCCAGACAGGTGCCTGTGTTTGGCAGGAGAGAGAGCGGGACAAGCTTAGGCTGAGTCTCGGGCTTCTGGGGCAGTCTAGGGGCATGGAAGCTGCCAGTTTGGGGTGGTTTGAGACGTACAGGTAGTGGCAGTAGATGGTTGAAAATTCAGATCTGTACTGAGGAGAGAGTGCAGGGCTGGAACAGCACGCCTGGGAGCCACTGGGACTTGGAGGTGGATGAGATCCTTCAGGGAAGGGCTATGGGGTGCGGAGGGGCCTGCAGATAGGTTTTGGGAAGGACTAGTATTTAACAATGGCTAAAGAAAGAGGAGGAGGAAATGGCAAAACTGAGGAGGAAAACTCAAGAAGATGAGATTGCAGGAGGTTGCTTTCTGCCATGGCAAAGGCGGCAGAGAGAGCAAATGAAACAAAGAAGGCCTGAAGGTTGGATTTGAGAATGGGATCACTGGGCACCTTGGCAAGAGTGGGTGCTGAGGAGCAGAAATCCAATGGGCTGGTAGATTAAGGAGAGAACTGGACATATAAGGAAATAAACTAGAATTTGGATGTTCCCAGGGATGCAGGCATCTCACTCCTGTGTCATGCATTCCCATCTACTGTTGGAGAGCTCTGACTGGTGGAAGGTCCTCCTTGTCGAGCCAGAATCTCCCTCAGGCATCTGCCCTCAGCTCAGGCTCAGCCCTCCAGATGCACACCAACCAAGTCTACAGGCCCCCCCAGAGAACTTTCCAAATGTGCCTCCTCACTGGCTGGTCTCATCTCATACGCTGGTCTGCATGGGCTCCAGACTCCCCAACTTGCCTTAAGACTGACTGTTCACAATTTTATTAAAACTGACTTATTCTTTGGTAACATTGATCTTTATTTTTCCTCTTTTTAGGTTGGTGGCTTTGCAACTTTTTTTTTTTACTTCAACCCAGAAAAGAAATATATCTTATATTATAATCAGTGTAAACATGTATATATAACTGAAAGGAGATGCACTCTTATATTCAATTCCATTTCATTCCATTCCATTCCGTCCTATTTTATTTCACATTTTTAAATGCTGGTCTTGGCCCACCACATTAATCTCACAACCCACTAAACTGATTTAAGGACTGATGGTATGACTAACAGAGTCACTGTTCTAGGAGGGGCTCATCGGAAACGCTAAGCATCTGTCTGACTCCGTTCCTTTTCCCTCCTTCAGGTTCCTCTGCCCTGGGGTCCGCAGGCCCTCCCTCCAATCACTTATTTGTGGTTCTGAGAGAAAAGAAAACTGCGTTAGTCACTAGGATGTTAGCCAGCCTTGGGGGGTGTTTGAATTCCCAGTGTGACTCATAAGAGGAAAGTAAGCAGCTTTAATGGTGGAATTTAGAAATCAGTAGAGAGACGGGCTTACCTTTCAAATCATACCACGTAGGCTACTGTCCCTGTACTTACTCATGAGGCATCCAACAGCCTAAGGCATTTTCGTGCCTTAAGGATGGCCTTAGGAGGTCCTATTACTACCTTTCATGTGAGACAGTTCAAATTTCCCAGAGTTTAAGAGTATGACCACCTATTCATACAGGCCACCTGACCCCTACCTACCCCAGCCAGATAAGTATCTGGAGTTGTGCTCTTCTGGTCTGATGCCCTCTTCAAATTCCCTGAGGGGACATCCCCTCCTTGAAAACCATCGCATCCTATAAATCTTTAAGCAAAGAACATTTGGGGATATTTTTCAAGTAGGAAAAGTTGACTTATATATTCTGACACTCATTCACAATGTCTTTTCTGAATTTACCTTGACAAGCAAGGATTTCTGAATTTACCTTGACTACAGACAGAAGGATGTTGCCTGAGGAATAACAGAAGTCTTCTCTCATCTGCTGAAAGGTGCCTCCTGCTGCCATAGACAGTTGGGTCCTCGAGAAATCTCCCGAAGGGTTTGTCCATCACATTTCTGCAATGAGCCAGGCCCTGGGCTGGGCCTTGGCTTCACCCTGGTGAACAAAACCATCCCTGACCTCAAGCACTCACACCTGGCTTAAAGATGAATGAAGAACGGTGGGTCTCCCTCACTCCAGAAGAATTTGACCAGCTCCAGAAATATTCAGAATGTGAGTAACTGGATTTCTCCATCTGGGGTGGGATTTCCTCTTGGTTGGGAAGAGCATTTCTGGAGAGCAGAGCAGTATAATCATTTCCCAGTTGCAGAGAATGGCCACACCTGACAGCTATGTTTCCTCATCACCACAGAATTAGTGTCTTAAAACATAAAAACATAGTTATCTTTATACTCTGTAAATGATACATGCTCACCATAGAAATCCGAAATATGCAAGGGAAAAAATAAACAGTCAGTTAAAACTCACAGCTAACCTCTGAATATTTTAGAATACTCCCCTCCTATTCATAGTGCTATACATGGTTGAGCTCCACAGTCTACCACACCTTTTTTTCCTAGTCTGCATTTTTCCCCTAACATAATATCAAAAGTATTTTCTCAGGTCATTAAAACTTCTTTATAGCATAATTTTTTAGGGCTGCAGGCTGCATGGTTAAAATGGTACTCAATCATTTGCTTTAATGACTCTCACATTTGGACCCAATGCCTTCTATCAGTGAGATACAGAATTCTGATGCCTATCTCTTTCTTGACTTTGTTCTGGAAAAGCCTGGGCTTTCACGTGGAGCTCTTGGTTTCCCATTAGTTGCACCCAGAAAAAATTTCAGTGCTTGCAGACATAGTGGTGGCAAGGCCGAGGTTCACAGGAGCCACACAGCTGTACCTCGCAGGGGCCACTCCCAACCTGACATGATAGGAATCTGCCTGGGCTGTGGCAGAACACTAACTGACCACTGCACCCTGCACGTGCAGTGACTGTCATGGCTGTGCAATGGCACCAGCTTTGCACAGAGGCCTTCATCTGGCAGAGCTCTCAGCTGCATTGTGTGTCCCACCCCTTCGTTCTCATCATCTCTCCCTTTCCATTGATTAGACAGTTGCTTTTGTAAGTCACTAAGCTTACTTATGGCCTGTTGACCTGCCCTGCAGAGCTTGCCCAGGTGGCCCTCCAAATGCCCTTTTGGCAACCTGCCCCTTATCACAGGACAGACACCCCTAGTCCATGGTACTGGTCTGGGAGTCAAGGGGTTGGGCTCATGTGCCAGCACTGGCTCTTGCTCTCTGTGATGTGACAGCCCTTGAGTTCCCAGAGCATCAGGGTCCTCTTCTGCAGAATAGGAGATCTCTCTCTATGCTCCCTCCCAGGCCTGACATCCCATGACTCCATGTGTTCCCCATGGCCAACAGGAGCCCCACATGGCTACTGCTCAGTCTACCTCCTGGTTCCCTGGTGCCTGTGGCCCCTTGTCTGACCTCGATGGGCTTGGAGAAGCGCTGTAATATAGTGATAAGAAGCAAGGAGCCACCTTCCAGGGTAAATTCCATTTAATTCAGCCTGCTATGTAGTCAGCAAAGTACCAGACACTGTCAGGGATGAAAAAGAAGCACAAATAAAAGGCTTGCCCCTGGGGGATCAGGATCCTGTTAGGGAGTCAGAAATGCACTCGTGACACAAGTGGAGAGCAGGTGCAAGGCAGCGGGCAAACACCTCTGGCAGAGGAGGCTGGCTGAGTGCGGCAGTGAGAAGGGAATTAAAAGCTGGGGAAATTGATACAGCAGAGTGTACTGGTTTGCTAGCCTGCTGTGACACAGTGCAACAATTTGGGCTGTTTAGAACAACAAAAAGTGTTCTCACAGGTCTGGAGACTAGACCAAGGTGTCAGCAGGGTGGCTCCTGCTGAGGGATGTGAGGGGAGGATCTGCTCCAAGCCTGTCTCCTTGATTTATCAATGTCCATCTTCTCCCTGGGTCTCTTTGTACTATGTTCTCCTCGTGTGTGTCTCTGAGTCCAAATTTCCCTTTTTATATAGACAGAGTCACATTGGATTGGACCCGCCCTTCCAGTATGACTTCCTCTTATCTAATTACATCTGGAACGACCCCATTTCCAAATAAGGTCACATTTTGAGGTACTGGGAGTTAGCACTTCGACATACACATTTGGGGGAGATACAGTTTAACTCACAACAGGATTTAGCTGAGTCAACTCTATGTAGGAAAGAAGTTTAGAAAGTGAGTAGTAGTAGGTGGTGGAGGAGGAGTAAAATCAGTGGAAGCAAGGTAGAGGGGCACAAGGAGAAAGGGTGTGCATGGGGTCCTGAGGAGAGCTTCTGGGCTATATGGAGATAGGAGGATGAGGGCAGGGAGGAAAACACAGGAGGGGCCAGGTAGCAGGAGACCTTGCACCCTGCTGTCAAGTTATGGGCTTTAGACTGAGGTGGCAAAATTTAGAGCCATCAGTCTGGTGGCTGTGTGCAGGATGGCCTGGATGAGGAAGGTGACACATCAGGGAGGCCAGGCAGGATCCTCTGGATGAAGATTAGTCTGAGCTGAGGAACAGGGTGTGGATGGTGAATGTGGCAGTAACAGAGGTTGATTTGTGGAAAACTGTGGTGGAGGTATCATCAAAACTTATGGAATGAAAGGAAGCCAGCAAAAATATCCCAAAGACTGTGAATATGTGGAAAATGCCAACATTAGGATGCCAGGCTTGGGGGGACAGTTTGGGAATGTTGCTTTTGGAACGGTGGTGACAGGTCTACTTTTGCATTCGTATGTGGGAGAGCCCAAGGAACCAGAGGTGAATGAGGCAGGAGTCCACCAATGATGTTCCATGTGACAGGTGCAGTGGAGTGGCGAGCACGGAGGAGGGGACCTAGCCCAGCCTGTGGGAGGCTCCCTGACGTTTCTGGAGTCCAGCTGGTAGGCGGGAGGATGGGGAGGGCATTCCAGGCAGAGGAAGGGGCTCGGGCAAGGCAGGGCATTGAGGCAGTGACCGTGGCAGCTTCTGAGAACCACAAGCAGGACATGGGCTGGGAGCCTCCAGCATGAGGCAGCTGGGCTGAGGAGATAGGACCCCAGCGTGGAGGGTACTGCTGTCCAAGGGAGTGTCCTGTGTGCCCCAGCGGGGTGGATGGTGGAATGTGAGTAGGAATGAGGGTCAGGCTGCAGCTCTGACTTGGGGATCATTGTGGGGAGACATCAAGGAAAGGAAAAAAAAAGAATGCAACACTTTAGAGCAAGAACAGGGGGAGAGAAACAAGGCGATGGGGAACAGGCCTTAGGTATGCCTACAGCAGGGGCTCAGAGAAGGAAAAAGAACCAAAAGACAGAGGGAACAGAAAGACAACAAGGGAAAAAAGAATACAGGGTCCAGGTAGCTAAGGCAAAGAGGGTCCCCAAATGGCAAAGTAATCGAGGAGGCAGGGGGTGAAAAGAAACCAGAGAATCTGGTAGGAAGGGGTTCCTTTGTGGTCTGGATCTTTTTTTCAACCATCAGCTTTGTCCTCTAGTCCTTCCTCATTTCGTCCTTCCCAGGACTGGACAAGGTGCTCGGAAACCATTGTTTTTACAGGAGAAGAAAAAAAGATACAATTCTTGGAAAATGATTAATTCTCAGAGGAAACCCTGAAAAGGCACTTCTACCAGTTTTAGACACATTCTGGTATTGTCAGATTGTATTGCCATAGTAACCACCCTCCCATAACCACATAAACAGAAGCTTTACAATAGCAAATAACTGAAGTGCACAGCTGAGAACTGAGAACTTTCTCTATGGGGTTACCAGGTAGTAGAAGCCAAGAATTTCAAGACACGAGGCTCTCAGTGTGTTCTGTTCATATAACATAAACCCTACACCTTCTCTGGGGGCCTTCTGTCAGGTGAGAAGCCATGTAAAAAATGCCCTTGGAAACAATTATATTTTATATGTACATATACATATATATACATATGTATATGAATAAATATATATTGGGTATATATATAGTTGACAGTAAGCTTGATGTTAATAATGTAAAGTGCTTATCATAAAAGATAATGTGATATTAAGAAATATTTTGTTATGAAATAAAACAAACAAGTGTAAAAATTTTGAAAAATGGGAAGATGAAATTTAAAGCTACCCATGAGCCTCTTCTCTGTGATAACCACTCTGTAATGTTTGTGTATAATCATCAATATTAAAATACACACACACACATATATATGTATACATATACTTTTAAAAAACTGAGCATGCTAGGCTATTTTGCATGCTCGTTTTGTTTTTTCCCATAATTCTGTGGCTCAGAAATCTGGGCAGGACACAGCAGGGACAACTAGTCCCCACTCCACAGTGCTTGGGGCTTCAGGTAGAATGACTCATGTGAGCTGGCATGGCTCATTCACTTGCATGCTGATACCTCGGTGCGTTTTCTCATCTCCCAGGGCCTCTGCATATGGTCTGTCTCTCCAGCGGGGTGGCCTGGACTTCTTACAAGTTGCTCAGGGCTCCGAGAGCATAAAAGCCATTTTATCATCGGGCTCAGACGCCCTAGAGCAGAGCTCTCACCACAGTCCTCTGATCAGAGCAGTCATGGGCCTGGCCCAGATTTGATGGGCTGAGGCCTGGACTCCACAGCTCACCCAGGGCGTGGGGAGCTTGATGGCAGCCATCTAACGAGCACACAGTGTATCATGAAGTGTTCCCATATCACTCGATACTTTTCAGAAGCATGGGTTTTAGTGCTTGCAGAGATTCCTTTTGAATACAAAAGTGCAATTATTTTATTTACCAAACCACTTATTGTGATCTTAGGATGTATTAATAGACTCTGTCTAGGAAGGCAAACTGATATCCACATTCTATCCTACCCTGATCAGACCTCTCTAGAGAACTGTGTTCATTTCTGGGCACCACAGTTTACAAGGTATGGTAACAGATGTGGACAAGGCAGAACTTGAGAAGCGCCACAAGCATAGTGATGAAAGTATGGCTCAAAATACTGGTGTATATATCCTGGGACAACTCAAGAACAGGTGAGGGAGAGCTAGTTGTATTAAAATAGCTTCAGTGCTATTGTAGGAAGGCAGTGTTAAGTTAAATTCGAATGGCTTCTAGAAGGAGCCCTAGGACTAGTGGGAGGAAACCATCAGAAGGAAGACAAGTTTAAAGGGATACATTGTTTCCTCATGGTCAAAACTGTCCAAAATGGAACAGAACTCACTTAA